ATAATATTTGAACATTTCATTCCCAAGTCACACCGAATGGCAAGCCAAAATCTCAAGGCACACCTGTTTTTATATCTGTGCACAACAGCTTTTATAACTTGTGTTATCACTCTGATCACGACACAAGACAATAAGAGGGAGCTTTAGTGACACTGTCCACTGTTTTATTTCTCTTTTCTTTCGGTCGTAGGTCGTCTTTGCTGGTGCCTTGTTGTAATTTGCTCCGTACAATAAAGAGATCCATTGTCCCACTCATGGCTTTCTCCTTTCAGTTGTTAAGAAGGATAGTCGGCACACTTGATGCTCTCAGTTCACCTGCATTCATTTAGCACATCCCAAAAATACTGTGTCTGACGTTTCGAGCCAAACGCTCCTCTTCAGACATGAGACATACATCTAGGACGCCATTTTTAGGGACGTCAGCGGGGTCACATGATGGGTCACATGATCAAAGATAACTGAAAGACAGTGAAAAATATTCACAGTGACAATGAATAATACATACAAAAAATATATACAACAATCTCTATACCAGACCAAGAAATGAACCCCATTTTTTAAACTAAATTAAATTACATCTTACAACTTTTTGTATAGGTCCAGATGAATATTGTAATAATGATGTGTGGTTATCACAAATCCCACAGCACACCATTTGATAAAACACTGATACAGGGTCTGGCTCACAGTCAGTGTGCGACATTATGTGCGAGGCCATTATCATATTTAAATGCAGCAAAGTCAAACAGTAACTGTCGTTACAAAGCTGGAAACACACTATCAACTGAAACTATTTTGGCTTTTGGCCTCTCAAAATGAAGCAGTGTCTTCTTGCAGTGCGCTCGCCAGAATAAATGTTGGCGCTGTCCTTTTCTGCGAACAACAGATATGTTACATCTGCACGTTACAAAGCAGATACGGTGAAACTTTACATTTCTTTATGTTTCAACGACATTGTGGTTAATGTGGTCATGTTTAGGCACAACCTCCCTCTCTGGACACATCACTGCACTCTCACACTCGAACGCCCTGACTTTTCAAAACCACACAAAATGTCACGTTCAGATTCTAAACAACAACTCCACTCCTACACGTCCTGCTCCACTTCCAAGTCACAACACAAGATGCCAACACATCACTAGATCACTTTCACATGTTCTTATTCCTGTAGCGCCTCACAGAAACAGCTACAGTCAGACATCATTTGTCTCACTCTCACACTCTGGAACGAGATCCCACACTACATCAGAGCAATAACATTGATTACACATTTTAAGATCTGATTTATTTATTTCAAACATTAAGAAATTATAATAATAAAATAAAAAAATTAATTTCCTACAATATAAGAATATATTGTAGGGAGGGAAACCTACAAAACAGAAACAAACACGAGAAACATAAATTAACAAATTCCCAAACTAAGCCAATCCATCGCTAATGAAACTATGACATGAACACACTCTTCTCACCATCAAACACACATTTACACCACTGCGCCTCTCGATACCTGAGAACCAATATTAGCCTACAACTTGTATACAACACATAGGAAAACATGAATTGAGAATACCGACTATCTGATGGAAGGACACACCTGCAACCACTGATTTACATCTCATTTCACTCTACGTCAGCCCTCTGCTCTGCTTCTTCTGTGTAGCTTCCTGTTCTGCTGTTTTGCCTCTGTTGATTGTTTCTGGGTTTTTTTGTATTGCAATTATACGTCTCTGTCACACCAAATGCCCCTGATGCACTGGACGCTCTCATGGCCTGTCTCACTGACAATAATGTACGGATGAGTCAAAACTTTTTAAAGCTAAATGAGGATAAAACTGAGACTCTTTTAATCGGACCAAAAGCAGCAAGAGAAAAAAAACTGCACTCAGTGTTTGGTGGCCTCAGCAAGCACATTGAAACTGATGTTGCTAACCTGGGAGTGATTTTAGATGCTGATTTAAATTTTAATTCTCATTTTAACAAGGTCATTAAAGCATCCTTTTTTCATGTCCGGAACACTGCTAAGGTCAGACCCAGAAAGATGCCGAAACACTACTCACGCTTTTATTACCAGCTGCTGAGACTACTGCAGCTCCCTTTTCACCAGACTACCCAAAAAATCAACAAGGACGCATTCACACTGGCGCTATTTGGTTCGCTTTAAACGAACCCTGGTCCCCTTGAAAAATGGGGGTCTCGGTTCACTTGCAAGTGAACCCTGATGCGATGCGCTTACAGTGGGAAATGCAAACAGACTATCCAGCAAACCAAAGATAGGAAGTGAACCAAAGAGAGGAAGTGAACCAAAGAGAGGAAGTGACTTAGAGCGCAGTGCATTTTGGGTAGAAAAAAAAAACAAAGCCAACAGTGCCAACGGGGAGAAGCAGAGGTAAAAAAAGAAAAAGGTGGAAAATGTCTCGTGGGCAGACGTGGAGTAGTGAGGAGGTGCTTATTGATACATGGTCAGAGGACGATATATCGTGGTTGCTTGTGGCCAATCGATGAGCCGGGTTCTTCCTCATGAAAAAAACTTACATCAGAGATTCTCTGTCGTTTTATGTTCCAGTTAGATCACTGAGGTCCTCCGCTGCTTTACTTTTAAATGTTCTGCTATTTGTTACCTCTGGATATTAGAACACTCTCTCTGTATTTTTAAATGTAAATTAAAGACCTATCTTTTTAATCTGGCTTTTAATGTGTGGTAACATTACAATCTTGATTTTTAGGTTTTAAACAGATTTTTACCTACTTTATTTCTCCTGTTCATTTTTATTCCATTTTACTTATGTATTTTTATTCTTCAGAGTTTTAATCATCTTTTTGTTTTGTTTGTTCTGTTTTGGTCGCTTTGCTTTTTCAATATTTTATTGTCTTGTGTCTGTGTCATTCCAATTTTGCCATGTGAAGCACTTTGGGCTGCATGTTTGTATGAGAGGTGAAATATTAATAAAGTTGAGTTAATGTGCTTTTTGTTGCATTAGAGCAGGGGTGTCCAAACGTTTTTGAATGGGGGCCAGATAAAATAATGTGAAAATACCTGGGAGCCAACTGATTCTCACATCAAATGGGTTTAAAAAAAAAGAGACAAATGCAACCATTTTTATCTTTTAATGATTTATTACTACTTGATGCCTGTCTGCAAACTGTATGATGGTCCTATCATTGTGAGGTGAAGGGTAAAAATGCAAAGTGATATTGCTTGATTAACCATTATTGTGTAAAGGGCCACATATGGTATATTTTGAAAGTCAAGCCGAGGGCCAATTAAAATTGGTCTGCGGGCCACAATTGGCCCCCGGGCCAGACTTTGGACATGCCTGCATTAGAGGATCCTGCTGGAAACCAGTCTTTACTTGAGGCAGGGCAGTTTTAACTGTAACACTTAATGTTACTTTAAATTACTTTCCTGTATTCATAAATGAAATGAAATGTGGAGAGGTGTGTCCACATACTTTTGGCCAGATAGCTGCATAGTGCAAAAGGACACATCGCCACCTGCTGGTTCAAATGAGGTAAAAGAAAGTTATCACTGTTTTCAGACTACAGGGTTAAATTCAAAGTTTGGATTGTGAAACTTTTCCACAGCAACACACAGAAATAATGAATTCAGTCAGAAACTCAGCGTGTGGTTAAGAAGCCAAACACACACACACACACACACACACACACACACACACACACACACACACACATACACACACAGCTGGGCCTCAGGGACTATTGTTAGGTGACAGATAAGGTGACATCAAACAGAATGGGCCATTATTAGAGACTCTCCACCTACTGGAGGTGAAGCAGCAGGAGGTGAGGGGGCTATAAAGGAGACCGTCCTGCTGCTTCAATGAGACCACCACCAGGACGGGACACACACACACACACACACACACACACACACGTTACAGACATCAGACTGCAGCAGACGCTCACTGAGGTAAGACACAACATGATATCAGCAGCACTTTGTTCTGTCTGTGCTGTAAACGCAGTGACGGAGGACGTATTTAGATCTTTTTCTAACATGAAGTACTGCATGAGAAATTATACTGAGTGTCCAAGTTTCAGAGTGTGTATTCAGTGTGTGTTCAGTGTGTATTCAGTGTGTGTTCACTGAGATCTCTCATTTAAGATGAGCAAAACCACACAAAAAATATACACCAACACAAGAGAAGGCTGTTTACATGACTTTACTGATGATGAGTTCTCATTTAGAGCTATTGGTAACATTGATCGGCTTATTTGGACCTAATATTATTATTATTATTATTATTATTAAACGCATAATCAGCTAACTGCACGTTAACACATCTCTAGTATTTAGATCTAGAACTATGCTTCACATTTTATAAGACTGATAACTATACATACTGTATTAATGTGAAATATTTAAAGTTACTATAGTCGCAGTTACATAAATATAATAGAGTAAAAAGTACAATATTTGTAGGAGATGTAAAGTTGCATAAAATGGAAACACTCCAGTACACGTACCGAACTGTGCTGAGGTGCAGCTCCTCAGTAAATGCACTTATGTTTCACCTCCAATAATAATAATAATAATAATAATGATGAAGATGCATTTTATTTAAAGGCGCCTTTCAAAGCACTCAAACACACCTCACAAGACACAGTTAAAAAAAAAACTATCTATATCCACAGATTATAAAATTAAGTTCAGTTATATTGTTGTACATCTTTAACAAATGTATATAACTTCTTAGTCTGGAACTTTTATTCAGTCATGAAATCTTTGTTTTATATCCTTTTATTTTTATGTATGATTGTTGTTATGTAATAAGGGAGGATGTGTTCATGAGACATTTTTGGCTTCTAACCTACACAACCTTTTATCTTTTCATTTCCTGTATTTTCTGTACATGCACAGTATGTGCAAATAAACTACACTAAACAAGTTGATAAATTAAATCAGACTGAGGCAGCTTGAAGAGGTGTGTTTTCAGACGGGATCTGAAGTTGTAAAGTGAATCAATACTGTGAGCGTCATGTTGGAGAGAGCTCCAGAGGCGGGGGCAGAACGGCTGAAGGATCTAGAGCCCATGGTGGTCAGGAGGGCAGATGGTGATGTGAGCTGGACTGCAGAGTACAGGAGGGTGTGTAGATATGAAGGAGTTCAGACAGGTAGGAAGGGGCGGGGTCATGAAGGGCCTTAAAGGGACAGTGCACCCAAAAATGTAAATTCAGCCATTATCTTCTCTCCCATATGTTTATGGAGGCTTAGGTGAAGTTTTAGAGTCCTCACATCACTTGCAGAGATCCAAGGGGAGAGGAGGTAGCAACACAACTCCACCTAATGGAGGCTGACGGCGCCCCAGATTCAAACGTCCAAAAACACATCATTGAAACCACAAAATATCTCCATACTGCTCGTCCGTAGTGATCCAAGTGTCCTGAAGCCCCGACATAAAAAGT